TGACTTGTTGCCGCTTCACTTACTTTCCCATCTTAGCATGTCTTGTTAACCATTTATTTGTGTTGTATCCTAATTCAGCAGTATTCAAAATTACTGCCACAGGAATTCTAGAAATCAAACTTATATTAATTTTACTACCAGTCTTTAAAAATATCAATACTAAAGTAATCATAAAATTCTGTATTGAATGTTGTTGTTTTTTTTTAAGAAGATGTTGTGGGTAGGAGTTTATTAATTAATTAATTTATTTTTGCTCTGTTGCATCTTCGTTTCTTTGCGAGGGCTTTCTCTAGTTGTGGCAAGCGGGGGGCCACTCTTCATCGCGGTGCGCAGGCCTCTCACTATGGCGGCCTCTCTTGTTGCGGAGCATAGGCTCCAGACGCTCAGGCTCAGTAGTTGTGGCTCACGGGCCTAGTTGCTCTGCGGCATGTGGGATCCTCCCAGACCAGGGCTCGAACCCGTGTCCCCTGCATTAGCAGGCAGATTCTCAACCACTGCGCCACCAGGGAAGCCCCTTGATGTTTTTAAATTTTAAAATTTTAAATTACATATGCTTATTACTTTACCCATGGATGTGTGATCACTACTCAAGGTGGTTTTTATTTTTAAAATATTACAACTTATGAATTTAGCTGTAGATAATTAATTAAAAATCTTAGTAAAATATGTACTTATGATAACCATTGTAAATTAATATATCTGGTAGAGAGCTTACTCTCTCTTTTTTCAAAAAATATTTATTTACTTATTATTTATTTATTTAGGCTGCGCCGGGTCTTTGTCAGGCATGCGGGCTTCTTAGTTGCGGCATGCATGTGGGATCTAGTTCCCCGACCAGGCATCGAACCTGGGCCCCCTGCATTGGAAGCGTGGAGTATTACCCACTGGACCACCAGGGAAGTCCCTAGAGAGCTTACTCTCTTGATCAGTATTTGACAATCAAGAGAGAACACTGAAGATTGACTTGTTTGGTAACAAAAAATGACAAAGGGGAAAAGCTCAAAATCATGTCTAGCATTTGAGTGAAACTAAAAAAGTTCTTGTAAATTTATTTCTACAAAGAAGATAGATATTTCGAATCATTCACAGAAAAATTTCTGCGTTAGAAGTTAGTGGGTTTATAAAATATTTGATATGCCAGGTCCTTCGATAAGTGCTAGGAGATGTGTTTGGAATGAGAGAACATCCTTGCACTTAGCACCTTCACTGGCTGGTTGCTCTGTGGCTGGTCCCAGTGCAGTGCTCTGTCTTTACTTGACATCTGTTTGTTGAGCAGAGTCTGCATCTCAAAGAAACCTAGACAAATGATTGTGTCGAGTAACAGATAAAACAAGGCATTGCTCCTTAATTTGTAAGGAAATGTGTAATATCTTTAGTATATCTTTTAAACAAATATTTAGCTTACTGATAGGAAAAGTTTGACTAATGTGGGGATATATGTTTAGAAAATGCAGCCGACAGAAAGATATTAAAAATATGTATGTGTGAATGCCTAACCAAATACTTACAGGTTAAAAAGTTCACTCTCATTGCATTGATATACTCTTTGATGTCAGTCTTTATGGTACATTTGGAAAAAATCTTTGGAAATAGGAAGTCAAAAGATGTCTCTTGATTTTCTACATCTGCCGAAGAGCTTTCTGATAAAGGGGAAATGAGATTTGGCATTTGGAACTAGTTCCTGGAGACCAAGAGACAGAGCATCACATTCTAGTTCTCATTAAAGCCTTTTATAACTGAGCCAGATACCATATTGAGCTCTATGTGCAGTTTTCTTGGAGTGTTGCCTCTGACTTATATTTAAAGTCAGGTCACATTCACTGGTGACGAGATTTCTGAACAGAGACAACTTCCTAGCATCTGTTATGTAACTCAACTCCCTTGGAGGGAGGGGCAATACATTTTGGGGAGGAGGAGAAGAGAAAGTAGATAAAACTGGAGGAAAGAGATGAAGGAGAGGGGTTGTAGTCCTTTTTGCGGGAGTGCTCTACCATGGGAGATAGCAAGTGACTAGGTGTTTCCTGTTCTGGTTTTCATCTTACTAAAAGAGCACACCCCTGGTACGCTAGCAAAGCACATGGCCATGAGGGAAAGCTGGGGGGAGTCGAGGTATGATTCTATATAGGATTAGAGGGGTGGGGCAAAGGGATGCAGGCAGATATAGTGGTCCCTTGACTGCCTCTAGTTCCTTGTGTACAGAGGTATCTGGAAAGTTAGCATGTTATATGGTTCTTAAATAGAGCCAGTGACCTGAAGCCAGTGTTGCCTTTAGGAATTCCACATGTGTAATTGAAGAATACTTATTATGCAAAGAAGTTCCATTTGTAAAAGAGAGTAGTATCTCTCTTGTGTGGCACTTGTATTTTATTTGACATAAGACTATGCCCTATTCCTTTAGATAGACTTAAATTTCACAGAATTTTAGATTTTATGAAACCTGTTTTTCTCCCCAGAAGAAATATCCTAGTCTTTCTTTAATTGTATCTGAAAATAATTACTCATGATTCATAATCAGATTGGATGTTCACTATTTGCCAAAACTATATGAGCATTTTCTCCATATTCTAGTGCTTAGAACTGATACCATTTTAACAGTTGACAAAATAAAACAGCATTTTCCTCTAGTGACACTGCTTTTTTTAGAGGGTAGTTTGCATGTTATCCAGAGTGTTGTTTTTCCTTGTGGTTATTTCGATGTTTGTACACATACGAGGAGGTTCAGGAATGGATGCCAATCCATTGGGTGTATGTTGCTTCTAAGTAATAGCTCTGAAACTTTCTGATGAGGGAGGAGTCCATTAACTCACTATTGGGAGATGTCATTTATCTGTGCTGTTTGCTTTACCTCTATCCCTTGCCTCCTTTGGCTGACTTAATTGAGAGTAGGCTGTGTTATTATCCATTCCAGAAACTGTATTAAAAAAAAATTCTCTATTACTAACGCTGTAATACAAAAATGGTAAGCGAAGTAAACAGATAAATTGAATGATCTGGCCAAAGTTACCGGTGACTCAAGTGTGTGGAGGCGGAATTTATGACACTCTTCCTTTAATAAGGACAACTGATGTCAGATTTCCCTGACATTTTATAAGGTGCCCCAGCTCATATTGGTGTCTAACTTTTTTTTTTTTTTTTTTTTTTTGCGGTACGCGGGCCCCTCCCGCTGCGGAGCACAGGCTCTGGACGCGCAGGCTCACGGGCCCAGCCGCTCCGCGGCATGTGGGATCCTCCCGGACCGGGGCACGAACCCATGTCCCCTGCATCGGCAGGTGGACTCTCAACCACTGCGCCACCAGGGAAACCCCTATGTCTAACTTTTAATATCACAGAAAGATTACATTTTAGGTTCAAGTTCCGTAGGAAAGTCACTGTCAAACTAGTGGTCAACAACTGCTATGAATTTTTTGGTTGACGCCATGTTAGAATTATGTTTCTGTTAAGTAATGTTTCAGTTATTTGTACTATGCATTGCAAGAAGCCACCAGTAATAGAATTCAAGAAATACTTGCTTAATAGGGAACAACTAGAACAATTAAATTGGAAATGTCATTTCTTATAAACCTGCTCAATTCTTTGCTAGCTCTTCAGCTAGTGATTAAAGAAAAATATTGTGACCATGAGGGAGAAAGCCTTTCTTCCTACGTGGTTTTCAGTGCACAAATAAGAAATTAGGAGTCAAAGAGTAACAGTTCTTGGAAATGCTTAAAGTCGAGGGGTGGTGGTTCTGTCATCTGTGTTAAGTTATCTGAAGATCTTTGTGTGAAGAAACTATGAAAACAGAAAAACAGCTTTTGTTCACCAGACTAAATCTTCATAAGCCACTGTTTTGTAATTTTGAATCCTGTTAACAACATTCTGAAGCTTATTAAATTGAGACTTTTGTCTTCTTTATTTTTAGCACACTCAAGTGTATATATAAATCTCTGGAATGTTGAAGGAGTGACATTCCGCAAGTGTCAGATTTTTTTCTTTTCTTCTGTTGCCCATTGTGAAGGGGAGACCAGTAAATTAAGAATGTTTGATTCTTTCTCCTATATTTGCTTTCCTTTTGGAACTCTGTTACAGAATAAAGAATTGTTTTTTTGTGGAAGCATTACTGAATAGGAAAATCATTGTTTCAAATTATAGTTTTCTGGCAGTGACTAATGATTAATTAACGAGGCTAGCTTTACTAGAAAAACATTATTATAATATTAAATTTCTACATGGCTTGGCACTATTATCAGTGCACAGCAACAAAAATATAGAATTCACCATAATCTAGACTTAGAACCAAAAATTGTACTCTTAAGTTTCAGGTGTCAAAACTGGGTTCTAAAAGTGTTTTAGAATCTAGAGACTTACAGATATCCTTGCAGATTCTGTAATAACAACATAAACTTTTGTTCAGTGTTAGATTCTGAAGTGACTGTTAGCCTATTTCGGGGAGTTCTGGTACATTTAAATTTTTACCCAGTCATTCCGCAGTGATAACAAAGCAATCATAGAGTTGAATGAGTTACCAATGGGAAATAGTTGTTATTTGGATGAGTTCCACTGCACCCTTTAAATATGGCAAAGAAAAAAATATGGTTTGAATCTACCTTTTTAAAACATGGTTCAGTTTGAGAAAAAAAATCAGTAAAAATGATTAATAGAAAAAAGTATTCTTAGGTTTAAGAGAACTATATTACAATGAAAGAGATTCTTAAACTAACTGTTGAAACAGAATCAAATATTACCTTTCTTTAACAAATGTGGAACTAGTTTTAAAGGACATGTCTTTGAATGTAGAAGTGTATCTGTATGTTCTAAGAGGCCCGTGTCACTGTTGTTGGCATTGCTGGTCTCTATTTCTTGACTTATTTTCTTAGTTGTTTGCTTTCTCTTGGGCTCTTGGACCTGAAGAAAATACTGGGATGGATGAATGACATGTATGATTTTTGAGGATGTTAAAAAGAACACTAAACTAATACTGGCATTCTTGTAACTGCATATGTTGTTTCTTTATTTACTTTCAGTTTGATTAATAAGCTTAAACCTGGTGTCATTAAGAAGATCAATAGACTGTCCACACCAATAGCAGGTTTGGTAAGTAATAAATTATCTTCAAAATTATATTTGTTTCTGAAATGTAAAAAGATGGGCATAAACACGTTCTCTTAATCTGGAATTATCATAGATATTAGGTTTGGGGTCTTTTTTTCTCAAGAAAAGTATTTCTTGTGATCTTGTCCTTATATCTTTAGTTCCTCCTTCTGTTTCCATTCTGCCTGGAGGCTTTTATTCTATTTATTTAATTTTTTGTTTGTTTTGCTTCTTGTGCCCTCAAACTGCCTATATCCCCCCTTTTGGCCCATTTCTTCCACAAATTGCATTTGTTTAGGATCACGGTCTTTCCGAAACTCAGCCCTCCGTGTATTGGTTGCTAGTTGACCACAGTTTATGGAAACTGGCCAAAGCTGATGAGTTGTTACATTTCAGGTGCTTCGTGCTTATACATTGCCCTCGCTCAGCATGCAGGCTTTGGAGTGTATTTGCAACATACTTAAGACCTGTCACCTCTTTTGGTTTCCTGTGTGATGTTGGGCAAGTCTCTGTCTTCTACTTTGCCTCAGTAACCTTTTCTATAAGATGACTATGGATGACTCTAGATTCATTCTAGCTTTAAATCCGGAGTTTTGTGTATGAAAAACACCCCATACTATCATTATATAGATTCTCTGCTGTATCAAGACCCTAGAGAGATCAATAATAATGTGGGACCATATCTTTGGAAATATAATTTATAATTACAAATGATGGATAATTTTCAAAATGTTAGCATTCCTGGGGCTTCCCTGATGGCGCAGTGGTTGAGAGTCCTCCTGCCGATGCAGGGGACACGGGTTCGTGCCCCGGTCCAGGAAGATACCACATGCCGCGGAGCGGCTGGGCCCGTGAGCCATGGCCGCTGAGCCTGCGCATGCGGAGCCTGTGCTCCGCAACGGGAGAGGCCACTGCAGTGAGAGGCCCGTGTACCGCAAAAAAAAAAAAAAAAAAAAGTTAGCATTCCCTAAGAATCAAGGCTGATGATGGGAGTCAGGTAAAAAATTAATTTACAAAACACTTAAGTTTAAGACAGCTAATAACTGGAATGTAAATAAAATATGTTAATATTTTATCATTGGAATAGTCAAGCTGCTTATAATACATTCAGGAACCTTCTGTTTGGCCATGCATGTGTTTGCAGATGTTAAAGGCATGACGGATTAAAGGTAGCAGTACTAAAATTTCTGGGTTTGCAGAAGGTGTCATCAGAATTTTGACAGGAATAAGTTGGTGGCAGAGTGTTTATTATTAGAAAATATCTGTCTAGGAGAGAAGGAAAGAAGAGTTTTTACAGTTTTTTCTTTGAAAGATCAGAAAATTACTATTTTCTTTTGAAATATAGAATGCAGTGGACCCTTGAGCAAAGCGAGAGTTAGGAGCACCAACCTCCTGCGCACTTGAAAATCTGTGTGTAACTTCTGACTCCCCCCCAAACTTAACTGCTAATAGCTTACTATTGACCAGAAGCCTTATTGATAACATAAATAGTCGATTAACCCATATTTTGTATGTTATATGTATTATCAATATATACTGTATTGTTACAATAAAGTAAGTTAGATAAAAGAAAATGTTAAGAAAATCCTAAGGAAGAGAAAATACATTTACAGTACTGTACTGTATTTATTGAAACCATAAGTTTACCTTGTCTGTTTACAAGATGAATCATCTGTCTGTCAATACCAACATCAATATTGTCTCATATGATACAAAACACTATAGCTGTTATACATATTACTACCATTAGTCATAAAATTGAAAAGGTAATGTGAAAAAGAAATTCATATTTATTTAAAGGTATAATGATTCATGCATTGATAACAAAGAAACAGCACTATGATTGCTTCATGGTTACCAAGCCTATACACTAATAAATGAACCATTATATGATTTTTGTGGCATACAGTATTACAGTCATATTTATAATACAGTACTAGAAACATTGTTACATTGAAAAACCCACTTACCCGTGATGATAGTCTGATATGCAGTTTCTCCAATCATGAGAGCGAGAGAGGCATATTGTACTGTAATTCCTTGAAAGCAAAGTTATAAAACAGTAAGAAAACTAACAAATAATTTTATATTAAATATCACTCACCTTATGCCTGTGTAAAGGTAGTATCTACATATATTTTATGCATTCACGATATATACTAACTTTTTCTTAATTTTTTCGATATTTCTAGGCTACACGATTCATCTGTGAGTTTTTTCAAATTGTCACAAATCTCCAAAAAATTTTCCAATATATTTCTTGAAAAAATATCTACGTATAAATGGACCTGTGCAGTTCAAACCTTTGTTGTTCAAGGGTCAACTGTCTATATATAAAGTTCCAGAGCAGTTGGGCTCAAATATTAATTCCTTCCTTCTTACCAAGTTACATCTATTCTATTTCTGTCACGACTAAGCAGCTGACATGATATTTTTATTGGTCTCAAACTTGGTTGGGTAAAAAACTTTCATATATATGCATGTATTGCAATGTACATATATGTATGAATTACTTCTAGCAATATAGGAGTCAGAGGTGTTATTTAAGGAATAAAGTGAAAGAACTTTTGTTTTTGAAGTCTTCCTAGGAAGAAACATTCAATTTAATAGAATAAATATGTTTTATATGAAAATAACTTTTACGAAGTAACTTCTGTGAAAATTAAAAGTATGAATTGTATTGAAAGTACTCTGTTTTTTCAGACGGCTTGAGTTATTCTCAGTGTTATAGGTTGAATTGTGTCCCGCCCCTCAAAAAAAAGATCCACTGCAGGCATACCTCAATTTATTGTGCTTCGCTTTAGTGCACTTTGCAGATACTGCATTTTTTATAAATTGAAGGTTTGTGGCAACCCTGCATCGAACAAGTTTTATCAGTGCCATTTTTCTAACGGCATTTTTTCACCCCATGTCTCTGGGTCATATTTGGGTAATTCTTGCAGTATTTCAAACTTTTTCATTATTATTGTATTCGTTGTGGTGATCCATGACCAGTGTTTTCTGATGTTACTTCTGTGACTCTCTGAAGGCTCAGATGATGGTTAGTATGTTTTAGCAATACAGTATTTGTTAATTAAGGTATGTGTGTTGCTTTATTAGACGTAATGCTACTGCACACTTGATAGACTACAGTTAGTATAAACATAACTTTTATATGCACTGGGAGACAAAAAAAAATTCATGTGACTTGCTTTATCGCGGTGGTCTGGAACCCAACCCACAATATCTCTGAGGTATGCCTATATACTGAAGTCCTAAACTGCAGTACCTCAGAATGTGATCTTATTTGGGAAGAGGGTTGTCCCATGGAGAATGGGAACAGAGGTCATAATGGAGTAGGGTAGACACCCTAATCTAATATGATTGGCATCCTTATAAGAAGATGGCCTTATGAAGGCAGGTACACACAGGAAGAAAGCCATGTGACAACTGAGAATTGGCGTGATGCATCCACAGGCCAAGGAGGAGCAGAGATTGCCAGCAAACCACCAGAAACTGGAAGAGGCAAGGAAGGATTCTTCTACAGGTTTCATGGGAGCATGGCTTTGTGAATACCTTGATTTTGGACTTCTTGTCTCCAGAACTGTGAGACAATAAATCTCTGTTGCTTTAAGCCACTCGGCTTGTGGTACTTTGTCATGGCAGCCCTCGGAAACTAATACAGATAGGTAAATGTTTTAGTTAATACTTGCCTTTTAAAAAACTTTTTATTTTGAAATATAGATTCAGAGGAAGTTGCAAAAAAAGCAGTACACGGAGTTCCTCTGTGCCTTTCACCCCAGTTTCCCGCATTGTAACATCTCGTATAACTCTGGTACAATATTGAAACCAGGAATTCACACTGGTACATTCAAAGACTTTAATCAGATCCACCAGTTTTACATGCAGTTAATGGTAACAAAGAGCAAAGATGCTTTCAAGCTAAGTGAGATGAAGAGTGTTTTATTGTAAGGATTTTCCGGAGGACTCTCGTTAATCTAGTGCTCAGGCATAAACATGGCAGCTGCGTTCAGCATGATTACTTTTTTCTGTCCCATTTCTAACAGGAAATGGCATCCCTTAGTTGCGTTTCCCAAGAGAGGAATCTGAATGGATCAGATTACTTTTTCTTTTTTTTTTTGTTAAATTGGAGTATAGTTGATTTGCAGTGTTGTGCAATGTTGTGTTAGTTTCAGCTGTACAGCAAAGTGAATCAGTTATACGTACACATATATCCACTCCCTTTCAGATTCTTTTCCCATATAGGTTGTTACGGAATATTGAGTAGACTTCCCTGTGCTATACAGTAGGTCCTTATTAGTTATCTATTTTATATGTAGCAGGGAATATATGATAATCCCAATCTCCTAATTTATCCCTTCCCCCCAGGTTTCCCCTTTGCTAACCATAAGTTTGATTTCGAGATCTGTGAGTCTGAGATTACCTTTTTCTTTCCAGGCTACAGATCTCGTGGGTCAGTGGCCAGCTAGTAGGTGAGTTCCTTAAGGGAGAGAGTGGTCTTGGCTGACTGGGCTGTGGTCAGGAGTATTCATTTCCTTTAGTTTGTTCAGTTCTGGTGTGTGAGCTGAAGTGGTTTCATGAATGAAGTTTGTGTGGGGTAGATACCAAGTTAGGTCAAATACAGCAATAATTACACAATTTCTGTGTAAGGGTTTGTTAAGCTATGTGAGTGTAATGCTCCAAGCCCCCTCTTCCATTCCTCCCTTTTTTACTCTCTTCTTCAGTTATGACTTTTTTCTGTTTCATGTCCACTCCCATGTGTATTTAGCTTTGAAGCCAAGGCTGTGGACTTACCCATGGCAGATGGACCTGTGTGAAACACTTGGAATATCCCCTGAGCAATGACAACACAGAGGGAGATGTTAAGATGATTCAGAAGTATATTGAATGCTTTGCTTAAAACATTCATATGATTATATGATTATTTTTTTCTTTAGGAAGGCAGTAATCATGTTCTCATAGATCTTTTAGAGATACGATTGAGTTTTGTAAAGAAATACATT